TAATTTTTGTGGTTTGGACAGGCATTTGCTCGGCTCAGTGCAGTTTATGGCGGGACATGTATGTTAAATAAACCTGAGTGCAAGGTACTTTGCTTTATAGTCCTAATCTCCTTTGTGTGTCACTAGATAGCTGGTTTTAATCTTTGCTTGATACTAGGTTGAGTTCAATGAGGAAGGAAAAGTTATTGGTGTTACTTCTGAAGGCGAAACTGCGAGATGCAAAAAAGTTGTATGTGATCCGTCGTACTTGCCGAACAAGGTAATAGCATTTTCGATGTTGGTGTATTCGTGTGCTTTATATCAAAATTTTAGGCTGATTGTTGCTGTTAATTTTTTAAGCTCTCGGACATGAGGGCTGAAAATTTTATTTTTATTTTGGTTATGTCAATGTTGGTGGTGAAGGCAGTGATAATAAACCATTTTTACGTACTATTCAACAGGTTCGAAAGGTTGGAAAGGTTGCAAGAGCAATTGCCATCATGAGCCATCCAATTCCCAACACCAATGATTCCCATTCAGTGCAGGTTATCCTGCCACAGAAGCAGTTGGGTCGCATATCAGACATGTGAGTTCCAATATAATGACCCTCAGATATGAGATTGAAATGGCTGATTGTTTCATTAGACTCGTTACTTCATCAGAATTCACAATCCATTTCTTTGTTCCTGTTGATTGTTTAATTAGACTCGTTACTTCATTCCAAGCTGGTCCTTTCTTGGAAGAAAGGATTATCTTCTACTAGTTGTTTTAACAACTAACCAGTGCAGCAACAGCTGGCGCACACATTTTGGTTGGGGGGGTTAATTGAGGGAGGGAAGTAAAAGATAAAACAATGAAAGTAGATCATATGTCCCGGTGACTGGTATATGGTAATTTTTCCCTTGAATCATGTGGCTGAGTAGTCGGTTTTTACCATGGAAATTCTGATTAATTCTGCATTTGAAAATTTTCTCTCTTCATTTGTGTATGTCTCTGAGTGCATAGACCTAAGAAAACCCACAATTGAGCTGTTTTTAAGTTTGAGAACATGAAAATGGTGAGCACTTGGTTTAGCCTTGCTATTGATGTTAGCACAGTGACTCGTTGGATGATGAGTTGTTACTTGTTAGGTTTGTTCTACGAGTTAATTCTCATGATGTTTTTCGGCTTCTCAGGTATCTCTTCTGTTGTTCTTACTCTCACAATGTTGCTCCAAAAGGAAAATTTATTGCATTTGTATCGACCGAGGCAGAGACTGATAATCCCGAGACTGAGCTGAAGCCTGGAACTGACCTTCTTGGGCCTGTTGACGAGATATTCTATGATATGTATGACAGATATGAGCCAGTCAACGAGCCCACTTTGGACAATTGCTTTATATCAACAGTGAGTTGGCCTTGGGTTTTCCTCCTGAATTCTTTCAACGACTTCTGTATGTGTTTTGAGGTTTGAGTATTATGGATGCATAATTACTTACCCCTTTATTGTTGCAGAGTTACGACGCTACAACACACTTTGAGTCCACAGTGATAGATGTGCTGAACATGTATACCCTGATAACTGGGAAGGTAATCTTTCTTATTTGGAAATTTATCGACTTTAAACAACGAACAACTTGAAGTCTGCTGACCGACCTCTCCCGACCAACTAGATAGTAGATAAACTTACATGCCTTATGAAAGTATAATTTCAGTTGTAATGTTTTTTAAGTGGAAACTGAGCATGCACCATATTTTGAGCAGGTTGTGGACCTGAGTGTGGACTTGAGTGCTGCAAGTGCTGCGGAAGAATGAGGAGCACTCCACTCCTTTTGGCATTGATTGATATGTAAGTTAATCCTTTTTTTTTTTTTT